ATGAGGACGATCAAGAAGTCTGGTTCTATGGAACAGACGATACCGGAATCGACGGGAAACCAGTAGTATCCGTCCTAGAGGAACCTATATTCGGAGACCACGAGTACCTCGACCAAAAACACGCACGCCACACCGAAGTATTCTGGGCCGATTGCATCTACGACGAATGCCAGTTCCACCTCCAGGACAAGGAACTTAACGACTTCTTCCCTCGACGAAGGAAGCAGCAGCCGATTCCCATGATCTACCTCCACCACCAACTCGGCACATGGATAGTCAAGGAATTCAAAGCGAGCTGGTTACACATGCAACCCAGTCCGGAACACCCGGTTCTGTGCTACAACGGACTGATCAAACACTGGTCCAAATGCATGCACGACGAATGTATGATGCATTACGTAGGCAAAGCCAAAACCTGGAGAACCCAGATTAGGGAACAAACCCCCCCGAGATAAAACCGGTGGACATGAAGGGGAAGCAAGCCCACCGACACTACTCAAAAAACTAGGGACGCCAACTGCACAGGGACAGCAGAAGGCGACACTGAGGAAGTCCCTATACCTCGCCACGACGACAGACGCCTCACACCTGGTTCTGAGCGTCTACATCGAAGGACAGCCCACTCAGGTCGTAATTGACAGTGGAGCACAAGCAAACCTGATGTCACCACGACTGGTGAATCAACGAGGAATCACATGGAGATTCAAGGAGGAACCATACACCCTGCAAAACGTGGAAGGAGAAACAGTTGAGTACGGTGGAGGCACCATTGACAGAGAAACCGCGCAACTCTCTATGGTTACCCATGACCGTCAAGAACATCTGATCTTCGACATAGCACAAATAGGAGACATGGATGTCATCCTTGGAATCCCATGGTTACGACAACACAACCCGAGCATAGATTGGAGAACAGGCCAACTCCAATGGAGAGATTCGACTGCGAGGCAGCGTTGCAAGCCGCAACCCCCGAGTGAATCAAAGCGACACAGATACGTCGCATACGTCAAAAGAATCGAGCCCACGAAGGACGAACAATTCGAACAATTCATCAACGATCAACGAGAGGAAGAACGCCTCTCTCCGATCCCAGAACAATACCGCAAGTACACCAAACTCTTTGCTGAAGAATTGGAAACCGGCTTGCCTGAACATAGCTCGTACGATCACGAGATCCCGCTCAAAGAAGGAGCACACCCGAAGTTTCACAAAATCTACGGACTGAATGAAACGGAACGCGAGGCACTTGACAAATACCTCGAAGAAAACCTACGCAAAGGTTACATCCGACCATCGACATCCCCTGCAGGATACCCAATATTGTTTGTACCAAAGAAAAATGGCAAACTACGACTCTGCGTGGATTACCGACAACTCAACGATATTACAATCAAGAACTGCTACCCGCTACCTCTTATCTCAGAATTACGAGACCAGCTGTACCACGCCAAATGGTTCACAGCCATCGACCTCAAAGGAGCCTACAACCTGATCAGGATGAAGGAAGGCGAGGAGTGGAAGACTTGCTTCCGCACCAGGAAAGGCAACTTCGAGTATCTAGTCATGCCTTTCGGACTCACCAATGCACCCGCCACCTTCCAGACAATGATCAACCACGTCCTGAGAGAATTTATAGATGTGTTCGTTGTCGTCTACCTAGACGATATACTCATCTACTCTCGTACCCCCGAGGAACACGAGAAGCACGTTCACACCGTACTCCAACGACTACAAGAAGCCAAACTACTAGTCGAACCCGAAAAGAGCGTATTCCACAGTCAACGAGTCGACTTCTTAGGATTCACCATCACACCAGGAAAGATCCGGATGGAAAATGGAAAAATCGCGGCCGTCAAGGACTGGCCCCGACCTCAAAATGTCAAGGACATCCAATCCTTTTTGGGATTCGTCAACTTTTACCGACGATTCCTCAAAGGATATTCCGCCAAAATCAACCCCCTCATCAAGCTCACCAGAAAGGACGTACCCTTCGAATGGACCGAAGAACAAGAAAAAGCCTTCGAAGAAGTCAAGCAACAAGTTTGTTCCGAACCAGTTCTGATAATCCCAGACCCAAGAAAACCCTTCGAACTGGAAACCGACGCTTCAGACTACGCCATCGGTGGACAACTCGGCCAACGCGACGATGAAGGAAAGCTACACCCTTGCGCTTTCTTCTCTCGAAAACTTAGCGGAGCCGAGCTCAATTACCAAATCCACGACAAGGAACTCATGGCAATTATCGAAGCTTTCCAAGAATGGAAACCTCAGTTATCCGGGACCAAACATGAAGTCAAGGTCTACACCGACCATAAGAACCTCACTCACTTCACCACCTCTAAAGTCCTCAACAAACGACAGATCAGATGGTCTGAATTCCTGTCAGAATTCAACTTCAGAATCATCTACGTCAAAGGATCTGAGAACGGAAGAGCTGATGCCCTAAGCCGAAGACCGGACCACGAAACCCCGGTACCAGAAGAAACCCAAGTCATCCTCAAGGAGGACAAGAACGGTGACCTTGTCCCAGCACAGAAACTCATTATGATCGGTACCCGTGTCAATACCAGCACGACTGGCAGGATGACACCTGAACAGATCATGGAGATTCATAGTGCTAGGGCCCACGGACACCAAGGAGTTACCAAAACATTTAAACGAATTCGACAACATTACGACGCACGAGTCACTCGAGCAGAAGTGGCTTCAGCAATCAAGGATTGCGACATGTGCAAGAAAAGCAAAAATAGTCCACACAAACCATACGGACAATTGCAACCACTACCAGCGCCACCAGAAGCGTGGCACTCAATCTCTTTGGACTTTATCGTCAAACTCCCCAAGTCAAAAGAACCACTCACGAAAACCTACTATGACAGCATATTGGTCATTGTCGACCGACTCACGAAATACGCATACTTCATCCCGTACTTAGAGTCAAGCACGGCAGAAGACCTAGCGTACGCGTTTTTGAAATACATCGTCAGCAACCACGGATTGCCCAAGGAAATCGTATCCGATAGAGACAAACTGTTCACATCCAAGTTTTGGAAATCCCTGATTTCGCAACTAGGAGCTGATCACAAGCTATCGACCGCTTTTCACCCACAAACCGATGGACAAACCGAACGAATCAACCAGATACTGGAACAGTATCTACGATGTTATGTCAACTACGACCAAGACAATTGGGTACCATTGCTTCCAATGGCCCAATTCGCCTATAACAGTGCTATAGGAGAAAGCACACTGAACTCCCCATTCTACCTGAATTACGGATTCGAGCCTACGGCATATGGAGAACCTCGACAGGGACCACGAGCACTAAAGGCTGTGGCAGATTACAACAAATTACGAGAAATCCAAGAGAATGCCACCAAAGATCTCGAATTTGTCAGGGCACGAATGAAGAAATACGCCAACACATCAAGGGTTGAGGGACCAACCTTTGAAGAGGAAGATAGCGCGTATCTTCTGCGACGCAACATCAAAACGAAAAGACCAAGTGACAAATTGGACTACAAAAAACTTGGACCTTTCAAAATCATTCAGAAAATCTCAGACGTCAACTTCAAACTCGACTTACCAGACACAATGAAGATACATCCAGTTTTTCATATCGCACTGCTTGAACCAGCACCGCGAGGATCAAACACCAACGACTGCATCATCGTGGAACCAAACGAACCGGAGTACGAAGTCGAACGAATCATTGACGAGCGAGAGGAAAACGGAGAAACACAATATCTTATTAAATGGAAAGGATACGGACACGAGGACAATTCATGGGAGCCAGTCAAGAACCTCCAACACTCCCAGCAACTCCTTCAGGACTATCGCGAGTCCCAGAACCCTCAGCCACGAAACCCTCAACAGGCAGCTCACCGAAGGACTGCCAGGACGGATCGCTAGGATCAAAAGACTCAAGGAAGGACAGGTCAATTGCACCAAAACCACCACTAGCCTGTACCTCGTGAACCGCCTCAACCACCGGATCGACGGGCGAATCCGCAGGCCACTCAGCAGCGGCCTCACGACCCCTCTTGAAAATCATCCGTTTCTCTTTACGTAAACGATCGAGCCGGGCAAGAGACGCATCCATCTCCGCCTGCGCAAGACGGAACAGTTCTGCTTGCTTTCGCAGTAACTCCGCCTTCTGACGAAGCAACTCTTCCTCCTGCTCTTCAGCCTTATCCAGACGATCGGCTTCATTCAGCAAACGATCCACTACGATCATTAGAAAGCCACACACCTCGGAACCACGAAAAACACTCACATTCGCAAATCGCATTATCATCCCCATCACAAGAGCGACCCCGGCGAGTACACTCTTGACACTTCTGGAAACCCGCAAGCATCTTGCAACGGATCCCCTTGGAACGACACCAACTACACGGCATTTCGATTTCAATTCCGTGTTCACGAATCCTCAAGGAATCCGCGAGACGGCGCTTGGTGGAAGAAGCCTTGCCAGATTTAAGAGTGTCTGACTCTGCCGCATTAGTCACCAACGACATGGTGGAAGAAAGATGAGAATGAGATAAACCCAGGGACAGCCCGCGGCGGGAACCCACTTACCTATATAGGTCTAAGGGGCTAGACCTTTGGAGGGGAGACCTGATGTTACGACCCAGGAAAGCGTTGGTTAACGTAACCACCTGGAACGAACCCACGAGGGACCAGGGGACATTCGGGCTCACTTGACTTGACTTGATTTCCTACTCGGTTTTGGCCGCTTTAGTCAGCAGCTATGCCCGGATAGCGGGGTTTGGCTAACAGCCGACGCGCTCCGGGTATTAATCCGTCGCGCCCCACTTCGCCAATGCAAAACATCGACCAGCTGTCTCCAAATTTCCCACTTTGCTCTCCAACCTCATCTACTCCTGGCCCCCACCAAGTGTAGTTCGCGGTTCTCTACTAACGTACATATATGCCTAGGCTCTGTCGAGGTTTTATGCCTCTTGCGATGGTTCCGTTTACCTACAGTCTCCCCCCAATGCTCAGCTTTGTCTGGGTTGCGACTCGATCCCATATTGCCCAAGGATCTCGGTCTGTTCTATGAACCTGATTGCCTTGGCGGCTGCTTTGCGCTCGTTCAGTATGACCCGGAGATTGTGTCGTCCTGGGAGGGCTCCGAGTTCCTGACGTCGGAGCTGTCGATACTTGCGGCATCGCAGCAGGATATGCGATACCGTTTGTCGTCCTTCCCGGCACGGGCAGTTGGCGTTGGTGATGCCCGGTACTCTTCGGCTGAAGAGGAAATCCTGGAGTCCGATCTTTTCGGTGCGCATCTGGACCAGAAGCGCGCTCTGTCGTTTGCTGAGCCCTTCGTGAGCTTGAAGGACCTTCTTTGTCGGCTTCGGCGTGAGACGGAACGACGTTCTTCCTCGCGTCTCAGCTTGCCAGTCGGTTTGCCATTTTTGGTGCGACTGCTTGTGTGACCAGGTCCTGATTGTGGACCTAAGCTTGAACAGGGCTCTCGGCTTGTCTGCCTTGGCGCCCGTCTGTCCGTTCTGTCTCCATCCTGTGGCTTCTTTAGCTGCGGCGTCTGCTGCTTCGTTGCCCTGGATGCCGATGTGGGCGGGGACCCATCGGAGCTCGACGTCGAGTCCTTGTTCGCGGAGGGCTTGTGTCTTGTCTGCGATGATCTCGAGGAGATATGCGCCAGACTTCCCTTTCGGTTTGGCTGACGACCTGATTGCGGCTTGGTTGTCGGTGTGGATAAAGACTTTGCTCCTGTGGTTTCCGTTTTCCTTGTCTGCCTGGGCCATTTCGAGGGCTAGGACGATCCCTTGCAACTCTCCCGCATAGACCGTTGATGTTGTGTCGTCTCCCATATATGATTTTCTGGTTTGCTCTGTAGTTGTGCAGACTGCGGCGGCTCCGACTTGGCCGTTAATGCCGCTGCCATCGGTATAGATGTGGACTGCATTGGTGTTCTGTTCTAGACATCGTTGGTGTGCTTTTTCGGCCTGCTCTGCTCCTCCAGCGATAAGGATGCGCGGGCCCTGCCACCATGGGGGTGTAACAAAGGGCGGTATATGCTCAGTCTCCTCGTTGGTTGCCTCTTGTCCGTCAAGCAGTCGTTTCGTTATTCTTTGTCTCGGGCTCCTTTTCGTTCCTCTGCGTGCGGGGGCTTCAGCTGTGCCTACCCTGCTGACGGTGTCGATATTGTGTTTCCATATCTGTTGTTCAACTGGCAGGAGATGCATCTCTACGTCTAGCGCTGGAAACGAGGTTGCTTTGTACGCCCCGCTCATTGCTCTGGCTGCTCTGGCTTGGAGTCTTCGCAATCTGTGAAGTGTCCTTTTGGTGTACCCCTTCTCTCCCCATCCACTGTTCGACCACAGCGAGCACGCGTACATCATCTGTGGTATGGCGACTCCCTTGTAGATTGTTCTCATCTCTCTAGTCCTTACGCCCCATGTGGAGTTGCCTAGGCTGCTGAGTGCTGTGATGGTGTTGGTTACCTTGCGTTCTGTCTCGTCGATGTGCTGCTTCCACTTGAGGGATGAGTCCATGATGAGGCCGAGGTATTTACAGGTTGTCTTGGGCCTGATTTCTCCCCATTGGCTCTGAAGCGTTGTGTCTGTGTTGATTCTGGTTTTCGCTCGTGTGAAGTGGGTGAGCTGGAACTTTTCGGGTGCGAAGACGGACGCGTGAGTGAAGGCCCACCTTTCGGCCTTCCGGAGCGCTTCTTGGAGTTTCTGGCAGGTGTCCTCGGTGTTGTCCCCTACTGCTAGGATCGCCACGTCATCAATGAAGCCGGTGGCTGTTGTGCCTTCAGCTTCGTTGCAGCTGTCTAGGAGGTCCGCATTGTAGAAGAGATAGAGTATGGGCGACAGGGGCGATCCTTGGGGGATGCCGGTGTTGATTCTGTATACTTCGGATCGAAATCCGTCCACGTGGATCTCTGTTTCTCGTGATTCAAGGAAGCTTGCGATCCATCGTACCGTTGCTTCGTCTATTCGTCTTTTTCTTAGGTTGTGCAGGAGTCGGCGATGTGAAACATTGTCGAAGGCACCCGACACATCCAGGAGGAGTAAGCTCGCTACCTTTCCCTTTCCTGAACCCCAGGCATCGTATATCTGGTCGACTATTCGGTGCAGTGCATTTTCCGTGGATCGTTGTTTTCTTCCTCCCATGTGGCTTTCTGGTAGTAATCTGTGTGCTTCAGCGAGGTAGCTTAGTCTTTTTGCGATGATGGCGTCCATGATCTTGCCAATCGTGTTTAGGAGGGCTATCGGTCTGTATGCTTTGGGTACTGTGTAGTTATCTTTGCCTGGTTTCCTTAGCACCACTGTGGTAGACTTTCTGAAGTGTTGCGGGCAGTGTCCGATTCGGAGGCTCTGATTGAATATGCGGGTGAGGTGTGGTGTGATCCACTGTCTCGCTATCTGAAGTGCCTTGTTGGTGACGCCGTCGGGGCCTGGAGCCTTTAGCGGCGCTGCTTCTTGAATGGCCTCTTCCACTTCACTTTCCGATATCAGCGGTAAAATGATCTGGTTGCTGTATGATGCGTTGTCGATATCTCCAAGGTTTGCCTCTGGAGGTGGAGGGAAGAAGGTTTCCTTGAATAGCGCCGCTTTCTCTCCGGGGGTGGTCGCGACCTGAGTCGTGTTGGGTTTCTTGATTTCTGGTGTGACGGTCGGTGACTGATCCTGTCTATACCGGGCCCATTTAGCGATTCTCCATAGCGATGCGGGAGAGCCAGCCGCTGTTTCCACCGCCTCGCGATGGGCTCGTTGTAGTGCTTTCCGTATGACACGGCCTTTTCTGTTTCTCGCCTCCTTATACGCTTCCCAGCTTTCTTCCGTCTGTTGCTCGCTGTATACCCTGCGGAGTCTTTTCGCCTCGGCCAGGGTATACGCGCATTCTTCAGTCCATCCGGTTCTGGATTTCGGCGATGGGGCCTTGGCTGGGACTGATGCCTCGATAGCGGTTGAGATGGCTTCAACCGTTGCCTCTACATACCCATCGAGTGCTGTCTTCGTTCTGGGCCTCTGCAGTTGTGGTAGTGAGGCCCGGAATGTCTGAATAAATGTCTTCTCGTCGATGGCTTTCCAGTTCCGCTTCTTCTCCAGGTGTAGTTCTGCTACTGCTAGGTGCAGGGACGTCACTATAGGTAGGTGATCGGAGTCGTGGTTAATGTCGTGGTCTACTTCGCATCTGATTATCCTGTCAACGAGACCGACTGTAACGAGGCATAGGTCGATCGTCGTCCGGCGGTTCCCTTCCTCGTATGTGACAGTTCCCGGTTGTAGTTGGCTCGTAAGATTCATGTCGTCCATGAGGTCTAAGAGTTCTGTTGCTTCGCGGTCTCGCGCCCGGATATTACTGCCTCCCCATAGCTCGTGGTGAAGGTTGAAGTCGCCAGCAACAATTTGCTCGCCGTGTTGGTGTGTTTCTAGCGATTTCCGCAGTTGTTGCAGAACTTGTGGTCGATTGTCCTCCTGGAGTGAGGGGTTGTATATGTTGTGTATGACCGTTGGCGGTTCATTGCCCTCGCCTGTACCAATGCTGACGGTGCAGAGATCTCTGCTACTTTCCTTGAACTGCCATCGAGAGTGGTCGAGCTTTTTGTTAATAAAGAAGCACACCCTAGCCGGCCCTCTTTCCTCGTTGGATGGGTAGCATAGGTGAAAGCGGTCTTTAGCTGGGTGGTGTGTCGTTGCGTTGAATGGGTTCCTCCACGGTTCCTGGATGGCAATAATATCGTAATTGTCGATATTCGGGTCGCGAAGGAGTGTTGCCATGACTGTATCCTTTGATTTTCTTACGTTGTACTGTAGTATTGTAAGTGTGTGTTGTCCGTTCATTCGCTATCGTCGACTACGATCTCCATCGCTGTGCTGTCGTTTGCCATCTGTGTGTTTGGGTCGAGCGCCTCAAGCGCTCTTCGCGACCGTACGATAGTGCGCTTCGGGCGCGTATTCTCCGCAGCCACCGTAATCGTCTCCTCTGATTCCTGGGTATCCGTCGGGTTAGGCCTTTTCTGGACCTTCTTCGTCAGGGACCGGCTCCGGGTTGGTCGGTCTTCCTGAGATTGACGGTCCAGTGTTGGTCGTGTCGTCCTTGGGTTCGGCCGGGTCCGGGCTTCCGGTCCTAGGGCCGGCTGTGGGGCCGCTTGTTCCAGGTGATACCTTGACCGCTGGTTGTAGGCGGTCCTGATCTTGGCCTTTTCGCGTATCCTGGTAGGGCATCTGCCGTTCCAGGCCTCGTGTTCGCCGTGGCATGCAGCGCATTTCCTAGGCGTTTCCATGTCGCTTTTCGAGGGGCAGTCTCGGGTCATGTGTTCTTGCGCGCAGTAGCCGCATGTTGTCGTTGCCTTGCACTGGGTTCCTATGTGGCCGTATGTGTGGCACTTGAAGCATTGCCTCAGACGGCACTTTCTGTCATATCTTTCGCATTGGAATACCTGGCCTTGCCAGATGAGACCCTCATCAATGAGTTTATTGGCGTCTTCCGCTTTTGAGAATTCCACCACGATTGTTGATGCAGTCTTCTTGCTGGCTGATCGGGTCAGCCAGCCGATGTATTTGATCTCTGCGGTAGGAATGAACGCTTTGTTATCCTGCAGCATGTCATCTCTAATCTCGTTGAAACGATCCATATCCATTGAGCTGGTCCTTATGCCATGCGCTAGCACTCCATAGGTTGGGATCCGTACCGCGGCTCCGTTGCCGATGCGGTTTTCCCAGTCCTCGGCAAACTGGCGGAGGGCCTCCATGTCTTTTGTCGTGGCTGTCTTGATGCTGAGGTCGCCGCTCTTGAGCTGATTAGCAGATACTGCCTTGAGTTTGCGGATATGCTCATTACTGCTTTCTTCGATGGCGCGGTCTACGTGCGCCTTAAGGCTACGGGAGTTCATGGCTCTTATGCAGGCAATGGTGATGGGATCTCTAATGTTCACAATGATCTCACGCAGAGTCTGGGTCTGGGACGATCTCTGGTTACGGGGGTTATGCATGCTTCCTGTAAGTCCTCCTCGGGCGGCTACACTAGCATATGACTGTGCGGTGCTCCCCTGATTCATTGGTCCCAGTGCTTTGATGTCCTTTACGACCTTAGCCGCCAGCTCGCTGGCTTTCCAAGCCTCCTTCGCGGCTTCGTTAGCCGCGCGTGTTATGTTGGTGTTCTCCTTAAGTTCGGCTGTGTTCTGCTGTAGAGCGATCTTGATGGTTCTCGTTTCGCGGGTGGTATTCTCGTTGGCTGTTTTGGTTTCCGCTCGCAGGCTCTCGATAGCCTGGTGGAGGTGTCCGACCTCAGGTAGGTTCTGCAATTTAATGATCAGGGAGAGGGCCGCGATAAGCGTGGACCTCACAGCCTGTGGGTTGAGGGGGTTTCCGTTTGCGGTGTCGATAGACTTGACTGCTGTCTGGAGGTGTCTGCTAAGTTCGGTGGCATGCTCTCGGTGGTGCGTTGGCCATAGTTGCTCTGACGGCCATGGGGTTGCCATGGTGCCTACGTCGCTTTGGGCTTTACGACGGGCACCCGGCTATCCAATTGACCTTACAGAGTGTGTTGTGGCGCTGTTTTTGCTCAGATTTCAAAAATTTCGTTCTCGCTTTTGATGGTGTTGACATTCGGGCTCATGTATGCATGATCACGGCGCTTACGGGCAAGGGTCGGAACGGAAGAACTATGGACAGATCACGTGATGATAAGAAAGTGATCAAGAGATAAGGTGATCACTGGGAGCGATCACCAAGTGAGCAGCTCACCCCGGACCCACTCTAGTTGATCACCATCAACAGCATCACGATAGGGAGACATCAGTATATAGACAGGACTTGAGCCTGGGGCTCAAAGACTCTCCATAGCTCTTCAGCAATCAACTTCGTGATTCACTCTCTCATAAGTGACTCTTAGATTATCCTTCTGTTGTGAAGCTATAAAGCTATCTACGCCTAGACGTGCCTGACTGATCACCAGACACCAACAGACCAGCAAGATTACCAACAAGACTTACCTTACTGTTACCGAGTATCGACCTCAGCTGCCTATTAGCAGAAAACACCACTGTCGGATATCTGACCGTAACATCTAAGTAGTTAAAGAAAGTAATTAATAGGTTAATTTAAGTACTACTTTATACCTTATCTATATAAAAGGTAAATATATAATTAAAGGGATTTTTAGAAACTAAAATAGAGTAAACTAGGACCTTACGCTTAAGAATATAGTATATATAAAGAATTTTTATATAAATGTTATATTAAAAGCTTTACTTTATATAATAAGTATTTAGTACTTAGGACTTAATTATACCCTTTAATATAAAGGATATTTAGACGGCTTTATAGTTAAGTAACTTATATAAAAAGTAAATATTATTTTCCTTAAATATAAGCCTCTTATTAGTTATTTTACTTATATATAAATCCTTATAAATAATATAGCTATAGTTAATATTAACGTAATAATACTACCTTATTATAATACTCTTATATAACTTTTATACTATAAGAAAAGTACTTACTTAGACCTCGCTTAGCTTTAATATCTATAAGGTAACTATCTAAGACCCTAAGCGCTTAAGTAATTAGTCTTAAATACTTAAAAGGTAAAGATTAAGGCCTATAAGAGATTAAAATACTTTTACTACTAAATAACCTATATAAAGAAAATAGTCTTAAGATAAAGATTAAAATAAAAGTTACTTTACTTATACTATAAAATTACTTAGGACCTCTTTAATTACTTTAAAAAGTATAATAAGAACTTATAGCTTATAGTAATTAAGGATAAATATATTAGTTATTTTTTTAGATTTCTAAGGGTATTAAAAACCTATAAAAGTATATTTAAAGTTCTATATATCTTTAAGTAATAAGTAGTAAGGTAATATAGCTTTGTTTTATATAAAATAAGATAAGATATAGACTGCTTTATTATAGTAATTAACGGTAATATAAAGTTTTAATAATAAGTAGAAGAAGAGGGGATTAAAGTTAAGACTACCCTTTTATATATAAAGGAGCTAAATAGTAAAGCTAAAAAGGCTAGCTAGGAAGTAATAACTAGAGGTATTAAACTGCTTTCTAGAATAGGCCTTCTACGTAAACTATAAGTTAAAGCAGTAATAGCTAATATATACCTCTATAACATTAGTCCCCTTTAGTATAATATTTAGCTTTATTTAATTAAAAAAAAAGAGAAATAATTCAGATAATATTTTTACTAGTAATAACCTTAATACTAAGTAACCCTTAGCTAAGACTTATGTCTATAATAGGAATAGCTTTATATATATAGCTACTAAGTATACCTTATTTAGAGAAACTAAGAGAGAGACATAGAAAGATAATGCTTTAAAGTAGAACTAAGGGGTTATATTAGATACTTAGTAAGCTATATTTAAAATACTTATAACTTATATTAAATATAGATTTTTTTATTTTAATAGGTTATAATTATATAAAATATAATATTTAATAAAAGCTAATTCTATAAGAAAAATAATATAAAGGTAATAATTTTAGTTAAGGAAATATAAGTAATTATAAATAATATATAATACCTAAGTATAACTTATAACCTTAAATTCTATGTTCTAGGTATTATAAAAAAAGCTAATATTATTCTAATCCTATAAGAAAAATACCCTTTATAATAGCTTTTACTATTTACTTTTATACTAAGAATAATATTTTTAAATAAAAAGAAATAAAATAACTATAAAGTAAACTATATTTAGTAAAAAGGATAGCTATTAACCTTTAATCTTTTACTTAAACTAGAAGATATCTTAAATTAAGAGATTAGAATAATAATAACTATTAAGGATTAAGCTATAGTAAATAAAGATATATTAAAATCTAAAGAAGTTAATTACTTAACTAAGGTAATTAAAGATAAGATTATTGTTTATATTAATTTGTCTTTAAATAAAAAAAATAAGGTAAAAAAAGAACTAATAATACGTTTAGGATTAGTATTTATAAGCTATATTAACTAAGGGTAAAGATTAAGTAATAGTAATTAGAATAGCTTAAATTATAATGCCTTAACCTAGTAAAGCTAACGTTAATAAGGCTTATTACTAGAACTAGTACTAATAGGCCTATTTAATAAAACAAAGAATATTAGTTACCTTTCTATATTCTTATATTTAAAACAAAGCTAAGATATATTTTTTAATACTTTTATACTAAATAGGTAGAAAGTACTAAATAAGGAGGCTATTAAACACTAAATAATCTATAGTTATATTTATATATTAATTATTTAAGTAAAGTATATTTAAAAGATATTAAAATTATATAATAAAAAAAAGATAGAAGAGCTATTACTTTTATTAAAGAACTAGAAAGAGCTTTTGAACTTTCCTTAGCTGTATTAGGACTTTTTTTTATAAGTAGTAATAACTAAGATTTAAAAGCTTAAGTAGATAAATACCTAGAAGGTAATAAACTAGAGTAAAGTTACTTAGAAACTGATTCTTTTAAAGTAAGTCTTTTTATATAAGATAAACTAGAATAGTCTCTTTAATTATTATAAAGCATAAATCTATATAAGGGGTAATATATAAGAAAAGTATTCTCTTAAATAGATATATATAGTAATACTTATAGTATAGACTTTTTATGTTATAATAGCTATTATAGCTAAATTTAACCTTAAGATATATTAATTTAATATAGTTAATATATTTTTAAATACTAAGAAAAGACTAAATAAACTACTTATTATATATTTTCTTCTAAATAGCTTTAAAATACTAGATAAAATTATTAAATTATAGTATATACTTTATAGTCTTAAAGACATATTTTTTCTTTAGTATAAGGAACTCTTAAGTACTTTATATTATCTTAGGATAAAGGCTATAAGTAAAGACTTATATCTTTTTTAAACCTTAAATAAGAAAGTACTTCTTCTTTTTTATATTAATAATATCTTTATACTTTATTATAAGTCTTATATAAGAGATATAAAAAAGATTATAAAAGGAATCTGAATAATATATAAGGTGAAAGACTAGGGTTTAGTTAAGTAGTATCTAGGTATATAGATCTTATATAATTAACTAGAGTAAAAGATCTATTTAGCTTATAACTAATATATTAAGCAAATTACTAAAAGATTTAACTTTATTAACTTAAAGGCACTAATTACTTTATTACTAATAGTTATACTTAAAAAGAATAACCTTTAAGTAACCTTAGTTAATATAAAGCGTTTCTAAAAAAAGGTTAGATTAATCCTTTATACTATAATAATAATTTAACTTAATATTATATTTATATATACTTTACTTTTATAATTCTTAATAAACCTTTTATATGTCTACTAATAAGCAATAAACCAAGTTATTAGATACTTATATTATACTTAATACCTAGTAATATACTTTAATACCTTAAAGGGTATATAAGTACTACTAATTATAAGTAATATTTTATTTATAGATAATAATAAGACATAAAGATTATCCTAAGAATATATTATTTTACTTTTTAGAGGTCTAATTTAGTAAAAAGCTACTTAGTAAAATATTATTATAACATTAATAACTAAGGCTAAGCTCTTTAGCCTTAAGTATATTATAAAAAAAACTATTACTTTTAAGCGTCTTTTTTAAGATATATAACTTAAGCTTAGTAATATATAAAAGATTAATTATAATAATAATTAAATTATTTACCTTATTATAAGTAAAAATAACTAAATTTTAATTTACTTATAGTATATTAATATTTAGAATATATAGCTTTAATAAGAATATAGTAAATATTTATTTAATATTATATATATATTAATAGATAATATATTAATAAATAGTTTTACTAAGAACTTTACTAAAACAAAATTTAAGTATTTTAAAATACTCTTTAACTTATAAGATATATAAATAAAGATTATATATACTAAAAAAGAGGTATTAGTAAAAGAAGAATACTTATAAGCTATTTAAAATTATTATTAATAGCTTATAGGCTTTTACTTTTAATAAGAGCCTAAGAAAGAAGTTTTTTTAGTATTATTAACCTTTTAGAAGTACTATATACTAGTTTATAAAAAGCTAATATATAAATATAGTTAATATAAGTATTAACTAACTAATAAGGCTATTAATTATAGCCTAAATAGTATTTACTTAACTCTTATTTATAATAGTAATAGTTATACTAAAAATAAGACTACTAAATAAAGCTAAACTAATTAGTATATTTTTACTAAATAGTACTAATACTATTTTACTATATTTCTATATATTATACTAAATATCCCCTTAAAAAAAAGTTTACTTAAACGTAATATAGCTTTATAATATATTAATTATTTAGCTAAGGACTTATAAGAATAGTTAAAACTAAATAAATAAATATTATATATAAAAATATACGCTTAGAGCTATATTATTATGCTTTATAACTAAGAACTCTTAGACTAAACAGTAAAGCTTAGAACCCTTAATAATTATAATATAAGGGGTCTTATTAAGCATATAGCGCTAGTACTTAAAGGTCTAGCTATTACTTATTAGTATATATTAACTTAAAGAGTTATTATATAGTGTACTCTAAATATACTATAGGTACTTAAAGTCTCTTTAGAGGGTAAGCTCTAAGGTCTTAGTATACACCTTCTCCTTTTCCTCCTTATTCTTCTTCTTCTCCTTTATCTCCTCTTTTAGTATAAACCTAAAAATAACTATCTTTATTTAATAGAATTAATAAAAAGTTTAAGTTAAATAAAAAAAGTATAATATACTAGCTAGCTACTAATTATAAAAAGCCCTTAAGACTACATTAAAGCAGGCTTAGGCGCTAAGGGAAGGAGGCAACTTTGAATTATCTTTATCTTTACCTATAGTACCTATAGAGAAGTCGGCTAAAAGAGGAGGCTATAAGCTATCCTCTTTAGTATCAACCTCCCTACCACTATAGCCTCTAATAGGAGAAGTCTACTCTTATATATTAGTACTATTTAAGATATAAAGGACCTAGACAAAGAATAGATATATAAGAAGAAGAAGGACTATAGGCTAGTCACCAGGGGGATTAAGGGAGCCACTGCTTTCCCTGTTACTTTTATGCGCTTTATTATACTTTTTAAGTTAAGCTATATACGTTATAGCAGTATAAGTATATATAATAGCCTTTTTATTAGATTTTAAAAGCATTTATTTTTAAACGTTAATATTATATAAAGAACTTATAATATAAGTAAATATATATATATATAATAAAAATAATAGTATTTTAAATATATAGTTATTATTATTATAAATAAAAAATAAAAAAAAAAAGACTTTTTTATTAAGCTAAAAGAAAATAATATTATTAAAAAAAATAAATACTTAACTTAATAATTAATTAGTTAATTAAAAGCTATTAATTTAATTAAATTATTTAAAGGTAATAAAAAAAAAAAGTAGTTTTTTTATTATTAATAACTAAATATAATATTATATAACTATTTCTTTTATATTTATTACTTTAAAAGTAAGTATTTATATTTTTATTTATTCTTTTAAAATAATTCTTTTATATATAGCTATTATTAAACATATAATAATTAAAATCCGTTAATCCGCCTAGGGGGGTATATTATAATGCCTTTATACGCATCACGTAGCCTTATAAGATTTATGCTAGGCCTAGATTAACTATTAGTCCGGTCCCTTTGTGCAGATCCACTACGCAGGATACGTATTTATTTGTTTTAGACAAGGCAATCCTGCACATAGAAATCTAAGCCGTTTTCCTTATGTCTTTTCCACCCTAAGTGGTGACTCTACGACACGTTTCCTTCAATGCTCCATTCGTGCGAGAGACGTCCAGTTGCGGGAGACATCTAGGTTCAAAAAGACGATTGCGAGCCGGATCTCCCGAGTTTTCTCGAGTTCTGGAACCCAACTCCCTGAAGGTTGATACCTAATCTACGTAGCAGATCAGGCTCCGATCCACAATGTCAGCAATCCCTTCAGATCGATCCAACTCTCACAAGACGGAAGTACACGATAACGATGGCGATGAGAGCGTTAGGCCTTCTGCTGTTGGGGCCCAAAGAACGCCGAAAGATGACCTCGATGAGCCCGAAAAGATCAAACTTTCTGCCGCTGAATACACCGTGGGTTGGATATGCGCGCTTTCAATCGAACGAGCCGCGAGTGAAGCGATGCTGGACGAAACTCACCAAAGCCTCCAGACGTGCAATGATGATTCAAATGCTTATACTTTGGGACACATTGATACATACAACATAGTAATGGCATGTTTGCCCGAGGGACAGTACGGCATAACCAACGCGGCCATTGTCGCGAGTAACATGAAGCGAAGCTTTGGATCCATTCAATTTGGTTTCATGGTTGGTATCGGTGGTGGCGCTCCTGGAGACATCGATATCAGACTCGGCGATGTTGTGGTTGGCACCCATGTTTTTCAGCACGACTTCGGGAAGATAGAAGCAGGCGACAAATTTCGTTCAACGGGAACTAAACGACTGCCGCCCCAGATCCTCCTCAACGCCATTTCCAAGCTGAGAGCAGGTCACGAAAGATCTCCTAGCCTGATACCTTGGATACTCGATGACATGTTCAAGAGGTGTCAAGGCCTAAAACAGAAAGGATACGGCTACCCAGTCCGAAGCGACGATCAGCTGTTTTACGCCAGATACGACCACCCAACGGCAAAACCTGACTGCAGTGAATGCAGCTCATCAGAGGTGCGATGTCGAAAACCGCGAGCTACGAAAGACCCGCACATTCACTACGGCGGCATCGCGTCTGGCAATCAAGTAATCAAGTCCGGCCGGATGAGAGACAAACTGGCAAAGGAGCACGATGTTTTGTGCTTTGAGATGGAGGGAATTGGTTTGGCAGATGCCTTCCCTTGCATGGTCGTCCGAGGAATCTGTGACTACTCAGACTCGCACAAGAACAAAAAATGGCAAAGGTACGCTGCAGCGACTGCAGCTTCTTATACAAAAGAGCTTATCTTGATTCTTACCCCGAGTCGATACAACAACACACCTATCACGAGTCCACCAGGTATTCACACAGATATCTGTAAGTAAACTTTAATACTTGTCAAGTCATTTGAGCAAGACTAATAAGTTTCCAGTGGAACAAAGGTTTCGGGCTCGTAGAGAACCTTTGCTACAGCTTCTGCGATTTGATCAAATTGATAGTCGCCGTGAAACCATTGAGAAGGAGCATCGGAAGACATGTACATGGATTCTCAATGATACCATGTATCAAGAATGGCTCAACCCATCAAAACTACCACAGCACCGTGGGTTTCTGTGGATCAGTGGCAAGCCTGGGGCCGGGAAGTCAACGATCATGAAGTTCGTGTCCAACAACACGATGAGAGATGCCAACGAGCATACTGCCATTACGTCATTCTTCTTCAATGCCCGAGGCAATGAACTAGAAAAGTCAACATTCGGGTTATATCGAACTCTTCTTCTCCAACTCTTTGAACGATTCCCTGACCTACAAATCGTTCTCGACGATCTTACCCTTATCCCACTCACGCTGAATAGGTGTCCGTCTACCACCACGCTCCAAGAGCTCTTCCGAGGAGCTGTAATGGCATTGGGTAATCGTCAGTTGACTTGCTTCATTGATGCACTTGATGAATGCGACGAGACAGAAGTTCAAAAAATGGTGGCATACTTCGAAGGGCTTCATGAAGTGGCTTTTACCAATAAGATACGCCTCAAGACTTGTCTCTCAAGCCGCCACTATCCCCATGTTCGTGTCAAATACGGGCTGAAGCTTACGCTCGAAAATCAGCTTGGCCATAGACAGGATCTTCAGCGCTACATTGAAGATCACCTTTGGGTAGACGAAGATAAAACAGACGCGGAGTCCTACAATGGAGAAGCAAGTGTCGCATCGAATGAAGTCGAAACAGACGCCGAATCAATCCGGAATGAGATCCTCCAGAAGGCCAGTGGCGTTTTCATGTGGGTGATACTTGTAGTCCAGATTCTGAACAAAGAGTTCGCTCGTGGCAGACCAGAGAGACTTAAGCGGAGACTGCAAGAGATACCCGCAAGGCTCAGTGAGCTCTTCACAGATATTGTTCAACGAGATGGTGAAGATATGGACGAGTTTCTCCTATGTTGCCAATGGATACTCTTTGCGAAGCGGCCTCTGAGCCCACAGGAGTTTCATTTCGCCTTGCTTTCTGGACTACAAGAGGATACTTCCAGGCCAATTCTCAACGGCGTAGGGAAAGTTACGATGAAATCCATAGGCCGCCGGGTGAGCGGTTCCTCGAAGGGACTAGCCGAAATTACTCATTCAGCGACTCCTAGCGTCCAGTTCATTCACGAGTCTGTGAGAGACTTCCTCATCAAAGAAAATGGTCTTAAACGACTCCAGTCCGACCACAGAGGAAGTTTTCAGGCACTGAGCCACGACAAGCTTAAAGAATGCTGCAGTTCATTAATAACAAGGAAAATCGCCAGATTTGCAGCTGTGTCAGAGACGTGCCCTCTCCTTGAGTATGCAGCTGAATATGTTCTTTACCATGCTGATAAGGCAATAAAGTATATTCCTCAGGATAACTTTATCGATAGCTTCTCAATCACCAACTGGGTCCTCATCTCCAAAACGTTTGGCTTGCACGAATATTCAGAAAACGTTTCCTTGTTGTATGTACTTGCGGACAACAACTTCGGAAACCTTCTTGATTTTCTCATCCGTCACCAACCCGGTTTCCATCCGAAGGGGAACGAAAAGTATGGCTACCCGTTTTTCGCTGCGTTAGTTAAAGGACACTGGACAGTGGCTAAGGCATTCCTTGGACCGTCTGTCCTTGACATACCGCACGAAGACTTGTTCCCATTGGATGATCGTTCCCAGCGCTCTGTATGCTCACGGGACACTGTGCCCCATCCGATCCATTGGGCCGTTGAGAATGATTACATAAAGCTCGCCAACCTGATGATAACTTCAGGCTACTTCAACCTCGTCGACCCAGATAAAGACAACCTTGGTCGCTGTCCTATCCACTCAGTAGCGATCACCGGTCATGAAGCACTCATGATAGCATTGGTCGAACAGGTGGTTCCTTGCCCCGAAAATTTGACGAGTTATGGAAGGGCGGCCACAGAGATTGGAGAACGGGGCAACGAAGAGGCCAAACGTCGCTATTTCAAGAGAAGACTCGACTACATCAGCACCAAAGATTCCACTGGGTCGACTCCTCTTTTGCTTGCTGTCCGAAACTTCCACGAAAGGATCATTGGACGACTTCTTGCATGGGGAGCAGATCCTAATCGAAGTCTTCAACACATTGGGGACCCTGGATTCTCAGCTCCCAATAAGATGAGCAAACGTATTGCAAATTTCTTCGTGGATGAGAGCTTAGTAACCCAGTGGACGTTGTTAATCATAGCTGCGCGCCATGGTCTTAGACACATTATCGAGACACTTGTGGACAATGAAAGCTTTTTTCTCGACGCAGGCGATAAAGGAGCCAAGGCTCTCGAAGAAGCAGCAAAATATCGCCAAGACGCAGCAATGAGACTACTTCTCAGTAAGGGAGCAAGCATTGGTTGCCGGGCCTGGGATAGCCATGGCCTCATGCAACAAGCAGCTTTCATGGGCCAAAATAGTGAGGTCAGGTGGCTTGCTGACAATGGAGCCAGCCTTGACAGTCAATCCACTGGCCGTGATACCTCCCTCTACTCAGCATGTCGTGGTGCACAAGATGTAGTGGTACAAACTCTTCTCGTATGCGGCGCAGACACGAATATTCCAAACCAATATGGTCAGACGCCCCTTCACCACGCAGCATACCATGGTTACGGGGAGATAGTCAAACTACTACTTTCTCACGGGGCGGATATCCATCTTTTGGATAGAGAAGGTCAGACTGCTCGCTCTAAGGCGATATCTACTAGTCAGTGGGCTGTGCTCAAGCTTCTTGAGGAAGCACATAAACGAGACGCCGCTTCCAAGGCTGACAAGAAACAATCCATTTTAAATCTATGTTTCCGGATAACCACTGGTTACTCTGCAGCTATAGTAATTACTATAACTGGGATGCTGCTTTATTGGCTTTTGCCAGCTATGTATTAAGCTACATAACAGACCAAGAGGATTACTACCCGTTGGAATATTATATGTTACGGTCAGCTATCTGACAATAGGGTCTGCTAACAGAAGCTGGGGTTTGACGCTGTAGATCAGATATAGTGGGTCTGAGTCGTAGTTCTGGGTGTGCTAAACAGATCAGGTCTTCAAGGGCTAAAGTGATCAGTCTTAGACCTAACTGCTACAACCCGTATTCGAGGATAACAGCCGAACAACCTAATCAGGCGTCAAGCAGCAAGGATAAGACATTTAAACTGCAGTGACTTGAGATTAATGTAGATGTGTAACTAAAAGTGGCGATGTCCTGCGGAGGGATTTGATTTGACAGAACCAATAACAGCGCGCTTTCTGGGAAATGATTGGGCGGGCGAGAATCCGTCGTCATCATCTCGGGAATCGACAGGAGAGAGAGAGGCTTGAGACTGCGTTGTTTGCCTACCTAGGTAGCAGCAACGGCATAGGTCGGTTGGGTTGGAGAAACTGCAGCGCAAGGCAGCTAGCTACTGCCTGAGTTTTTAGGGCACATGGTCGCTGCCTCCCTTGAGAGAAACAATGTTGGGGAAGGCGTTGAAGACCTGTGTAGACTTTTCGGTGTTGTTGATGTCGATTTCTTTCCTTCCATCAACATACAACCTATCCACCCATTCATGGATCTGCGACCGCAATCACAACCAAGCATCAGCCACTCACAACAACGCATCTAACCATCAGCATAGCCAGTATGAACCCCGAAAACTTCGCCAACCTATTCGTCCGTCTCACTTCTATCAGAATTTTCTGGAGGATATTCTAGCTAAAGATTTCAGCCCAGCTGAGGAAGTTCAGAAAATCGCATCCAAGGGCGGTCAGGCCAGCCATGGCCCCGAGGAGGGTATCTCCCCTACCAGCAGCCCGAACCCAGGCAACTTCCAGAACCGGTATGCATACTCCTTCCGTCCTTCCGGAGTCGACCATGCTTCATCAATGGAGAAGACCGCATTAGGTGATTTGCGGGGTTAACTGACACCGGTGCAGCCCCACTAAGGAAGTCCGCGAGATCGCAGCCAAAGGCGGCGCCACAAGCCACGGCCATAGCAACCCCACCAACTTTGGCAACCGGTACGACCCGCTCCCGCTCCTCCGCCCCCGGCATTCGAACTCTACCTAGGCCTGCATGCATGAACTCTAACAGTCCAACCTTCCACAAAATAGATCCAAGGAGGAAGTCCAAGAGATTGCCGCTGAGGGCGGTCATGCCAGCCACGTGGGGGGTTTCGCCAGCATGGACCCTGAGAGGCAGGTACATGTTGTCATTATCTGGCCTCCCCTCCCGGTCGCTACGGAATTTCCCAGGTGCGGTTGTCATGGTTGCCATCACAATTCTTGAGCATCTTTTCGCTGACACTTTGTTATTTACCACAGCAAGAAACCGCTTCCGAGGGTGGCAAGGCGTCGTCCGGGTCCTTTGAACCCGGCTCCGAGAAGGCGCGTGAGGTTGACCGTAAGGGCGGTCTGGCGAGTGGTTCTGCTTGAGCCCGATTGGCAACACTGCTAGGCCAGCAGATATGTACGATAGATGGGAAGAAGTCTCGACTTCACGAGTAAGTTGGGACATCATCTGCAGGGTCTCGCCAAGCAATTGTCTGGTTTTTCCCAACATTTGCGTTTATTGTACTTATCACGGTGTTTCCGGCCGCGCGCGGATATGCCTTCTGCCCTGGCCAGAAAGCATTGACGCCCTCAAATGTTTGTGAGTAATTCGGACCCTTAACACTCACGAGCATTTTTGTCGAGAGATACGGATGAGTCCAGGCCCTCCTCAGCAGTTCACTTTGGTCTGGTCTTCGTCTCGACTTACACGAGTGTGTTTGTTTGGCACTCACCCTCCCGAATTATTAGGGTACAGAGCCGCCGGCGAAGGAAGACCTCTCTAAAAATACAGGAAATCAAATCGGAATCGAGCCTGCCAGACAGCGCTGCCGCAAGTCCAAGCCATTTGGCAAGCAATACGAGCAAATAGAGCAAGTTGACGCCATCGCCACCACGCAAGTAAGCAATTTCACCCTTCGATTCAATTATCAGACTTAATGTCTTATATTCAAATGAATTTGGCCAATGGGAGGCCGCAGATTGGTCGGCACCCTATTTTTCCTGACATGTGCATTCACTGAAACATGACACTATTGCCAACATCACGATGTAGATGCGTCGAGTGCGAGATGACGTCGCTACAAGCATATGCGGGGCAGTGCGAATGAGGTTTCAATCCGACTTATTTCCACTTATTTCCGCGAATCAAAAGTTATGATTAAGGGCTGATTTGAATAAAAGTGGGCTATTCTTGGACTGACGTCATCTCACACTCGATGGGATAACCTTCACAGTAGCCTTGCTGAGACAAATGAGTAATGGCAACTGCCTGTAATTGACTAACATTAAGCTGCGGACCTTATCACAAGGGATCACATTAACCTTGTTGGTATTAAATGTTAAATCAGGCTAAGAAAACCGTATGATAAGAACCTTCCCAGAGTTGCCACCTATCGCTACTGTTGACCCATATATCTCCCTATGGTATGACTGGTACTCCTCAGGAAGCCAAAGGAACCTTTTCTTATCTTTCATGATCCACCTATCTCCCTCCTCCAGATAGTAGTCGTTAGGGGTTCGAATTATGCCCGAGGGCATAGAAGGCTCCAGTGGGATTATACCTGGTGTTCCCACAGTGTTCAGGTCAATAGTTCCTAAATTTGTGTGGAGTTGATATCCCGAGCTTGAAAATCGAACTGATTCCTTGCGAAGTTTAGGAGGTGGTAATCTTGCAACGTTTGGGTAGTTGCCACTGTAAGCTCGTCTTGATATCCGCTCCGATGTGGGTGCAACATGCGAGACATACGTCGGACCTTCTGCGCTTCTGCATATCTCCAGAGTCATTAGCTGTCTTCCCGTGGTTTTATCTGTGATCCTAATCTGGTTTCCGAAGGTCTCCGCCACGTGTATATTGCCGTTTGAGAGGGTTGCAGTGCATTGTGAGAAGACACCTGCGTCGATTATATCGAGGCACTCTCCGGTAACCGTGTTCCAAACACACGTTCTGTGACGAGAGACAGATATGAGACGGCTACCTTCGCATGCGAAAGTGAGCGAGCCAATGGGTTCGTCATGTTGATTGACAGCACCATCTCCAATCGCTTCGGGTTTTGAATCGCTATGGGCATCTGAGCTCGAATGTACCATGCTGTTGAATCTGGGATTTGACAGTTTAGAAGACGCCAAGGGTTCTGATAGCTTCCAATCCCAGATCTTGATGGATGCGTCCCTAGAAGCAGATGCAAGCAAGCTCCCGTCCTTGGAAAATGCCATCGAGGTCACAAGTCCACAGTGACCTTTGAGCACACGCTTGTTTTGATTTAGGGTTAAGTCCCATAGATAAACACTGCCATAAAAGTCGCTAGCTGCAAGATGGGAGCCGTCGCGCGCGACTGCGATAATATCCGCTGTCTCGAAGAGCTGATCTTCTATTGGACCAGTGCAATCACCTGTAAGAACATTGCGTATATGTACTTTGGTTTTAGTGATAGCTGCAAGATGACTGCCATCATTTGAGAGCGCAACCAGCTTGACCGAGCCCTGATTGATGGTTTTGAGGCAGTCACCTGTATCCCCCTGCCAGAGCTTTACGGTCTTATCTTGGGACGATGAAACAAGAAGGGAATCATGTTTCAAGAAAGCAACTGAGTAAACGGAGCTGCTGTGGCCTTTAGCTTCACGAAGGCAGAAACCGCTGGCAGTGTTCCATAGCTGAATGACGTTGTCGGTCGAGCATGACGCCAATATGTTACGGTCACTTGAAAATGCAACTGAGAGAGGACTGCCGCGAGTACAGAGCTTTTGTAGGCGACTGCCGGTCCTCGTGTCCCACAGCTCAACACAGGAGTCTGAAGCTGAGGCGATTGTGGCCCCATCGATGGAGAAAGCCACAGAGTAGACCGGACCGCCGGTGCTGAGCGTTCTCAGACAAGAGCCTGTTGCAATGTCCCACACCTTTACCGTGCAATCATAGGATGCGGAAGCCAGTATAGTCATGTCAGGGGAGAAATCCACTGAATTGACACGGTCTTCGTGTCCTTCCAGAGTTTGCAAACATGGACTCCAGTCGTCTTGCACTATAGGTTGCAAGGGCCATCTCGGTTCTTCGGCCATAAATTGTCGCCTTATGATACTGTTTTTTGGGCTGAACAACAATGCCGAAGTGTAGATTTGCATGGGATCAACCTCTATGGGTGTCCAGAAACATTGCATAAATCGAATTGCATCTCGAATTATCGAAACCTTCCGATCCGACGGGTTTAGTGAGGTCTGTAAGCAATTAGTGAAAGCTCGCAGTGATGATGCAGTGATGATGTATGCTCCTCTAACCTCAAAGATTCGTAGAATTTGTAACATGGAAGACATCCCTCGAGACATACTTCGCAACAGGCTCAAGGCTTCAAGCCAATGGAGAAAGCTTCGACTGATGAATACATGAACTTGTTCAAACTGCAGCTGTCCCGAATTGCCGCCGGTAACGTGATCAGCCCAGTATACACATGCATATCGGACATTTGCCAGCGGATCAGGATTTGGGACACAAATATCCTTGAGTGGGACTCCAGGTCCATTGAGACGATACACGTCGCGCCGCAGCGTCATTGACATGGCTTGTAAAAGCTTCGATAGAACCAAATCATTGTAATAACCGATTCCTGATGGCATAAATCTGTCTTGTCGCTCGAGTAAGAAGTCCTTCACGGATTGGTGTATGAAGTCAACAGCGCCTCCGCTTATGGTCAAAAGGGAACCGCACTGTTCCAAAATATCTTCCAAATTTTCAGCGTCGTCAACAATGGTCGCCAGCTCGGCCAAATCAAGCGGGCGAGACGCAACGAACATGATCGCCAAAACCTGCCTACAGTTATCTGCATCCCACGATTTAAGGATGTTGGTCAAGATTTCTTCGTATAATGAATTCAAATCAGGTGGAAGCTGTGCGAGGACTTTCTGCGTGCGTGACCTGCGAGAGCCAGCAAGCTGCTGACAAACAGAAGCGGCCCAGAGGAATGTGTTGTTTGCGTGAGTAGTAAGATGTTCGCGGACTTGAGCACTGAGCTTACTGTTGTAGCCTTGCAGATTCGTCAATTCGTCTACTTTGTGATCGATATAGATGTTGACAGCTGCTGAAATGACATCCTGGTTTAGTTCCAGAGACAAGACACTCATATTCTCTCTAACGGCGGCGAAACCCATGTCGATTCTAGACTCGGGACGACTTGACACAATGACTTTGACGTGCATTGGCAGGTCGATAATAAAGCTGATGAGCTGGTCCAGACCTGAGGTACACTGATCAATAGCGTCGATGGCCAGTACAGTGTTGTACAGGCATTCATGACTGACGGCGTATACAATCATTCTGCATAGACCATCCCAGCTGTTGACGTCCTCAAATAATGTCTTCCCAGCCCCTGCGTGTTCATGATTGTCGCGAATAAATTGGAGAATCGATGGTTTCTGGGTGAGTATCATGTAAAGAAGGCCACGGAGGACAAAAGTTGCGGTATTCTGGCGTGCGTCGGTTGCCTGGCAGAAGAAGTAGAAGATCGAGTCGCTTCGTCTCTCGAGCTCGTCAATTAAACCACAAAGCAGCATAGTCTTTCCTTTACCTGGATCACCCCTGATCCAGAGTAGGCGGCTCTGTCCGTCGTCGCGCCATCGGAGGAAGTCGTCGTGGTCGAAGATCCAATAGTAGCAGTCTCGGAGTAGACCGCCCTTGATGCGCTGGATGCGCGTCTTGTCGTGGCGTGGGTCGGTGACATATAGGTCAGCCAGGAATCGCCTGTCAGATTGATCATGAACGCCTGTTTAGTTTGTCAGCAATAATCCAAGTGAAGTCTTGTATATTCCTACCAATATATATATCCCGGCCGACGTCCGAGTGTGCAAAGCCTAAGTGTTGAATTCCGGTGCCATTGAACTCTGACCGCGCACCGGGGCTTGGTTGGCCTGAACCTGATCCAGCTGCCGCCATATGGAGAGGTGAGGTTCTTTGATTTGCCACTTTGGGAGTCTCTCTTCCACAACCGCGTCGGAGGCCAGCATACATAGTCGTCGTTTGGTACTACCGTCGTTAAAGGGCCGGCGTAATGATGATTGACGATCAATCAGGCAGTAGTGACCGTTCTTCGTGAAAAGGAAATCAGGCTGAGCAGCTGCTAGCGGACCAATCAGACCGTAGGTGTGTGTGGATGCGAGGTGTTGGGATATGCAGGTTGTGCTGCCGCTCAACATGAGGCATCCAGTCCGCTCCTTTGGTCAACGGCTTGCGGCTCTTCCTCTAGAAGACGATTTTCTGGTTTCTCATTAGGACTAGTCGCTTCTGGCGATCGCGTAGTTATGAGTACCGTTAACAGAGATGAGATTGTTCCGCAACATGGGCGACGTACTGTGCTTCGAGATGGAGGCGGCCGGGCTAATGGCCGAGTTCCCCTGTATCATCATTCGCGGCATCTCCGACTATCACGACCTTTACAAGAATGACGATTGGCAGCACTACACGGCTGCAACTGCCGGTGCGTGCACCAAGGAGCTGATTCCCTACATAGACCCGATAGTGGTCCCTACTATGTTTGCTGTGTCGGCACCTTACGTGGCGGTGAGTCGCGATAAGCCGGTCGCTACTCTACACGGCACTGGCATTCAACATTCTGGCTCCGGGAATTTTTCCGTCGGAAATGATCTGAACATTGGGTGGCGACTAGGCGCTAGCATATGATAGGTATAGTCAAGGGTTTAGAAATAATCTTATTGTGATGAATGTTAGGGTCTCATACTGCTGCTATGCCTGTTCAGTGTATCGAAGGCCGGCTGCGCAGCGTCCTCACTCACTCACTCAGCAAAACAGTAAGTACAGCACTATCGTTTGAGAGTATATCTAACTACCACCAGATCCCCCGCAGATCGCCACGTACAGTACTAGTTCATCAGTTTTTGCACAGCAATAAGGGTAACCCAATCAACGACTACAGTGGTGTGATGAGACACTGGAATTAAGGTGGTGCACTGTGAAGTGACTCCAAGCTAATGGGACCCTCTGTAACTTTTGATTCGGTTATCCTTATTGCTGTCAGAAAACTAATGACCTAGTACTGCAGGTTTGACACATCAAGATGGATTAATGGCCTCTAGGTGCGGGGTCGAAATTCCGTACATCCAACCGGAACAGCGTCTGGCAAGACCGACGAAAGTTTGAATTATTTCCGGAACGAGATTACCGTATTCATGTAGCGCAACGGCGGCTCGTCAGTAGAAAATATGCGATGGCTTCGCTGAAAGAACTCGAGCCATACGGGGACAGTGCCATCCATGTTTTGCTAGAGAAACTGGGCGGCATGCCGGGACAGACAACCGATCTGGGCAACTGGGTTCAGATCTATGCTTTTGGTATGTCATTTTTGCTGACCGTTCGATAGAAGCCGGTATACTAAAGTGTAGTTTGATTGCTGATCGCAGACGTAAATGGAGAAGTCACATTCTTAAAAAGATTCGGCTTCATGGACATTTGCGCTGATGATAGCTCCTTTGGCCAAATTGAAACTTCTCTAAGATCAGCTGCATGGATTGGACAAGTACCGTGGCTGTATTGGCTCCACGATTTCTTGTCTCCCGTTATTGGAACCTGGCTCGGAATCGCATCTCGCCATAGCAGTCTCCGCAAATTTGCGGCCCGAGAGGTCGCGGCCAGGCAAGACCGTGGCTCCGACCATCCTGATATCCTAGGCAAGTTGCTTGCTGTACACCATGAGAGGCGTGATCAATTTGATAGCTCCGACATTGTTTCAATGGCAACCTCAAACATTTTTGCTGGCAGCGACACCACAGCAAACTCGATTCGATCAATCATTTACCACCTTCTGTAAGACCCAGAAGCTAGGAGATGCCTTGTTCATAAGATCTATGAGCATTGGCGCAAAGGAAAAGCTAACAATCCAATTACTGTCACCGAGTCTGAGAACATGCCGTACTTGCGGGCGGTTATGTACGAGGCCCTGCGGGTTCGTTCGGCGGTAGGCATGACTCTTCCCCGGGTCGTATCTAGGGGAGGATACCAAATTGATAGCTACCACATGCCGGCTGGGGTGAGGTTTCTTTTCAGCCCTAACGAACTGTTTCTGGATGTGAAGAGTTATTGACTAGGTACAGTTAGTTGTGGGTGTCAAACCCCTGGGTTGTACATCGAAGCAAAGAGGTCCGTTGGCAAGACATTTACTCTTTCCAGCCAGACAGATAACTTAAAAACGACAACAGTGATATGCGTAGGTTTCCATGAAATTAAACTTCACCAGCACTGACAAACTTTGACTCAGATCGTTTCTTTTTTGCTTTCGGTTTCGGAGCTCGCGTGTGTCTAGGTCACTGTATGTGGTTCCATCTGCAAAGCATCTGGTCGCTTTACTGACAGTGATCTCAGACATTAGTTGGATAGAATTGGGCAAGGTTCGACATCCAGACACCAGGCAATACTTTCTCCCTGGAACCGACACTTTGGAAGCTCATCCCTATCCTTTTCTTGCATTTCGATTTCGATTTGGCCGATGCAAACATCGCGTTAGAGGAGAAGTGCTGCTTAGTCTTTCGTCTTGGTAACCATTCTCGCTCGGTTGATTGTAATCCATCGGTTGCTTTGTGCCACAGAAAGGTTCAAACATCAAGCTTCGACCAAGATAGTTTCCTGCTACCCAGTAGCTGGAAGCTTAGAATTGCATGTTTACTGCAAGAAAAACCACGAGAATTGGCTTAAAACAACCTGGAGAGGCGAAGCGCTTTACTTCAGAAGTGAAGTGAAAAGAAGCTGCCAGTCCACCATTTCCGTCCATGCATGCACTGTGATTGATTAGCTGGTTTACTTGGTTTGCGTGAGCCACCTACTTTCTTTCAAGCATTAGACATTGCGCTGCTCCGAGGGTAATCTCTTATGATAGAACTCAAGCAGCAGTCTTAAATTGCGCCACAAATGCTGATCGAGTTCCTAAAGTTCTGTAGATATGCTGGAAATGGTAGGCCGGTGATATTCTTCCGCTTTTAGTCTGCTCTTTCGTCACTTGAGATGCGATTTCCGCCGGTGCAGACGAAATACTACAAACCCGCTGTGTTAGCGCCGCTGGTCCCGAGACACTGCTGGAGATCTGACGGACTTAATCGGGTTCCAAACTGGAATTGCTCTTGGTTTACTCTTTTGCTTGGACGAAGGGGCTCCAAGAAGCAGTCCAGTCCACCAGTCTGGAATAAACATAGTTATAGGCCTACACCGTATAGATGTTAATATAGGCCTGACCGGACATCGAAGCCGACGTCCGTGTCATCTTGTCAGCCGGCAGGGCTAAACCCGCCTTGCCCCGACTAGATGGGAAACAGCCGTTCAACATCGGACGAGCTAAAATGCTGGATTTGAGTTTCGATAAAGACCTAAAGAACAAAAGAAGAGAAGCAACCAGAAGTGCCGCCGTATGACTAATTACTTCCGTGCTATTTAGTGTTGTCGTTGATCAATTGATCCTTTCAATGCAAATCCCCACATCGAGACCTCTCTCTACAGCCTTATCGACTGTGATGCTTGACCTGAGTGCGCAGGTTCAGTTATTTGAGTTGACCAGAACCCTGGCGACAGGCGATAATCTTGGGCGGGAGAGTGACCATAAACTCCAGATGATCGGTCGCAAGGGCTTGAACCTAAATCACATTCATTAAGGGCGAGCAGCTTGGCTGCTGCAACAACAGACACAGTATCTGTGACAGAGCATGGCTTGGCAGCACTTGTTGACCTAGTATACCGGCCTGTTTTAAGATGAGGAAGTGGAACGGGAAGAATAGGATTTTCCTAGTGTGTTTGGCCTAACTCCACACGTACGTCTAGACCAGTGTTGCCACTTCATGATGCAGGGGCTGTTCCCTGTCGTCCCAAAAAGGGGGTTGCGGTAGTGACTTTCTGGGCGCTAATCTATAATTGCCATCGTAGAGATACCCGAAAGCGAAGAAATCAAGCTATCATCCCAAGATTCCGGTCTTTTAGGCCGTCAAACCTGCTGGGAACTTTGGATAGGATGACGGTCGTCGATAGCCTCAGAAATGGTGTTGCATGATAATATCAGTGATGGATGAGGAAACTGAATATTAGAAAGAAGGTAAATAAAATAGAATTCGTGGTCAAAGTCGTCAGTTGAAAGTCATGATAGGGTTGTCATCAAAAAGCATAGCATAAGAATGTGAAAATAATGACAATGTCCGACGGTCCGCTCTACTTTGTCCATTGATGCACACTGGTACGTACAGTGGACAGCTCCGCCCACGGTTAGCTTAATGAGGTAAAAAGACCTTGACGGTGCCGGTGCCCCTGTCAAGAGTGTTTCAAATCGTAATTACAGTCTGGGGCATGCAGTGTCCTACACCAGATCTATTTCAGCTAGGATAACATACCTTGAATGCATTCATTTCATCGCCAAATGGCACGTCGACGGAGTGGTCAACCTGTTTTAGCAACCGCCCAAGTCCACTAATAAGCTACCCATTCGCCCATGGATATGCTGCTGGGATCTACAAGATAGGCGACGGGTGTCTCCGGGCTTACGACGATGAGAGGAATATGGAGATGAAAACTCGAGTGTTGAATTAATACTAAAGAAAGTTGACAGCCTCCTTTTTTGCTCAAGAGTTCTCTCTTGTGTCGTGGTGTATGAGCTCACCCTTTTTTCTACGTCTGTGTCGCTCCTTGCAACATTTGCATCATTCATTCGTTCCTTTCCTTCAACTCAATTCTTCCATATGCATACTACTCTTTCTCTCTTGGTTGCCGGTGCTGGCATCGCCAACGCATACACCATTGCCGTAGCCGAGCCGTTCATGCGCAAGAACATTGACCCTGTCGTTATGCCTGGTCAATACAAGAGCCACATGCACACGTTCTTTGGCTCCGATGCCGTCACCCTCAACACCAACTCTTCCCAGGAGCTGCAGGCCGGCTGCTCGACAGCCGAGAATCCCAATGACTACTCGTCTTACTGTGAGATGCAGCACCTTATTAAGGGGCAGCTCGTTTCTAAAATTGATGTTCACTTGCTGACATGACTCCAAGGGGTCCCTACCCTCTACGTCAAGAACGACACCGGCGTGAACCCTGTACCCTTCTCCCGCTTCAGTGCCTACTACGTCTCTATCGAGAATGCTGAGGTCGCCATCCCCCAGGACTACAAAACTGTCGCTGGCAATGCCCAGGGCACAAAGCAGTCCGACGTTGAGGAACTCGCCGGCATCCAGTGGTTCTGCGAGGGCGATGCAACCGAGGAGGGTAAAGAGGCCGCTGCATGGCCCACGAAAACGTGCTCGACGCACTTACAGACCCTTCTGCTCTTCCACGACTGCGTCAACGAGCAGACCCTCAAGTCAGCCTATTCGGGCACCCAGAACTGGAAAGAAGGATACAAGCCCGCCAACCGCTGCCCCGAAGGCATGAAGCGGATGCCGCAGCTGCGCTTCTCAATTCGTTATGACCTCCGCCAGCTCCTCCCCGACGGATGGAACGGCAGTCACCCATTCGAGCTCGCCTGCGGGAACTCGTTCTGCTCTCACGGCGACTTCATCAACGGATGGTTACCCGAAGCCGCAGCCAACATGCTCAAGGCCAACAGCAAGCGAGAATTTGCTGGCGTGGATGGTCCTGACGGGAAGTACAACGCTGGCTCCAAGTGCGGTGCCAAGAACGCAGTAAGTTAACTTTTTTCTCGAAATTTCTTTGACGATTAGAGATTGACAATCAATGAAGAAGGATGCCGATCCTGAAAACGGCACCTCTAACTACGAAGAGAGTGTTAGGGTGATGAGCAGCAAGCGCAGCATCGGGCTGCGCTCCCAGTCTCGTCGGGCCCCAACAGCTGCACCGTACTAAATTCAAACCATGAACCAGATCCCAGTTTTCCATTGCATCTATCAGCGGGTACGACCAATATACTGCACCACAAGTAGACCTTATCCCCTTCTCTTGTGCCCTTCGCACTACTAGAACTGGAGTTCCTCAACTACATATAAGTGAAATGACGACCTGAGGTCCCTTCAAAACGCTTAAGTCCTTGTAGCTTACTTGTCACGTGCATTTTGTTCTCAGATAGTCTCTGTTTTAGTGAAGCGAATAGGGGTGTCGCAGAGAGGCTCGAGTGTTTGGTACATGCAATTAATTTGAGACGCTGACCACTGTGCGAAAAATATTGGATCAGGTAGCCTGCCCACATGTCCTACTACTCGCATAGAGTACATCATCTAGCTGAGGTTCTGCCCGTCCCTCCTCGGCGGAAGATCAGCCCATTAATTGTTTGTTGCCGCTGTCGCTAGGAGTTGCAGGCGGCGATTCGTCGCATCTCTGAAAAGTTTCAGGGATCTGCACGACCGCGCTGCTCGTCCAGATGTGTTTCGCACGGTTCATTTTAATTCCGGCAATTAGCCCTCCCTTGATGCTGACAGTTTGCTTTGGAGTCCCATTCTTGTCGTGTGCGCGGTGAAAAACGCGACTTCCGCACACGCGACAGAAGTAGCAGTCCATGTGTCCGCCGCCCTTTGTCGGTCGCGTCCAGATTTGCAGCTTTGATTCGAGATCCTCGGAGAGAGGGAACAGGCTTTCGGCAGGGAAGATGGCGGACGTGCCGAAGGCGGATGCAGACTGCTTGCGGCATTGGGTGCAGTGGCAACAGTAGAGATCAAGAGGCTCCGGTGTTGGCGTCTTAAAAATGACGACTCCGCATTGACATTCGACATTCATTATGCTCGAACGTGACGACCGACCGAGTTAAGCACGATTGACAGTGTGTTACAAGCCGAGCCTCGAGACGAAGCATATGAAGCGGGATGTTATTACGCGATAATTGAGTGGGGGTTTGAAGTGTCGAGATCGCGTTTTCGGCTGCTTGCGCAACTTCTTTCACGGCATTGACAAGCGAAGGGCGCCGTCTATCAGCAAATTATCGCATCGGCTGAGATAAGCCATCTCATTTGATTGGCTTGACTAAGACAGAATCGCGCTGGAAGTATCCGCCAGAGGCCCCGAACACAACGATGAACGAACAAGAGATGGTCCTCCCATGAACCTGGCCGGAGTTAACTCAGTTATGAAGCTATTATGTTCACCACTCGCGTCCATTGTTGACGATGACAGGAGATGTTGACCGGAAGTGAGATGAGTCAGCAAGCAGACTCGGTTTCGAACCACTGAGGAGCTCCTTGTTCCCATGCTCATCCCATATCTTGACTCGGCATTGACTCCAGTGTGTCGCCAGTGGCGAGTTTGGCATTTAGCCTGTTATCATCCCGGTGCAACATCACCAACTTTTCCCATCCAAGAAGCGACCTTCCCCAGTTTCCGGAGGATTTTCCCCTTGACTGCAAGGTATCGGCATGCCGATTCAGCCGCCCAAAGATCGCATCTACCCGACATTCAAACGCATCACATTGGTTTGCTACTCTTGCCGAGAAGAGGTCATCATGGTAGGTACCTAGATAACAACCGTCATGATGCACCCCAGCCCATGTGGGCGATCCTGACGCTTCCTAAGCTCTCCCGTCCCCCCGACGAGCCTCCATTTGACCGGATCCTCCGTTCCGAATTGAGCATCGCCAGGGCCTGCTAATGAGGCTAAATGCGATCTATTCAATCAACGCTCTCGCCTGCTCTCCTCTGGGTATCTCACCTAGATTAAACATCCGGGGGCATTTGGCCTGATGCAGGCAGCATCCGCCCCTGGACCCCCTCACTGCCGGACTCGCAACGTGATTTCCCAAACCCCTGGAACAAGCAAAATGCGCCTCATGCCATCGAGCGAACTTCCGAAAGGATCGTATCCGGCCATTCAGACAAAGGGCCCCACAAAAAAGGGTTCCCGTCAATTGAATTCTTTGGGACGACGAGATTAAGTGGTTCAAAGTGGGCTCATCGTAGTCGGGAAAGCACTTATCAAGCAAACATATATAGCGGAGTGCCCAGCCGGGTCGGTTGTTGGGTTATAGAACATCAACATCCGCAACCGACGCCAACTCATAGTCTCCCATTTCTAACATTCCCAATCGCCCATAATGCTTTTCGACACCATCGTCGCGGGCCTGCTGCTGGCCGCCAGCGCCGCCGCCATCCCCATCGAGAACCCGTTGGAACTCATCAAGCGCGCCCCGAGCGCTGGCGTCGTTATTCAAAAGTGCGCCAAGCCTGGTGTTTTCGCCCTCGCCTACGACGACGGCCCCTACCAATACACCTCGCAGCTTGTGGACATTCTTAACCAGGGCGGCGCCAAGGCCACCTTCTTCATGACCGGAAAGTTGTACGGCTGCATCTACAACCAGCGCACCGCCGTGAAAAAGGCCTTCGACTCGGGCCACCAGATCGCCTCGCACACGTGGACGCACCCCCAGAACTTTGGGAGTCTTAGCTCATCTCAACTCACGACTGAGATGCGGAACCTTGAGCAGGCGATGGTTAACATCATTGGCAAGAAGCCTGCCTACATGCGCCCGCCGTACCTTGCTACCGGTGGTTCTGTGCTTTCGACCATGAAGTCGCTGGGATACAAGGTCATCACCGACGACGTCGACTCCGGTGACTGGAATGGACAGACTCCGGCGCAGAGCGAGCAGAAGTTCCAGTCAGCTGGTGCTAGTGGCAACGGTCACATTCCCCTTATGCACGAGGTTTACGCCAGCACGGTGCAGACCTTGACGCCTTGGTTGATCAACTGGGCTAAGCAAAACAACCTCAAGCTGGTTACTGTCGGTGAGTAAAGATAACAAAGCATTGTTCGGTCTAGTATCTAACACGCGATGCGCAGCTGAGTGCCTTGACGACGCCAGCGGTGCCTACCAGTCTGGCTCCTTCACTGGCAATGGTGCCAACACTTGCTAAGTTGCTAGAGCTACGAAGCGGCGTACGAAAGGCCGGGAGCAAGGGGAGAAGGAATGTAAATTCATCTTGCAGTACAGCAGTGGTACTGACGCGTACAAACTTTCGCGAACATATCTTTGGGTACATATCCATGTTGCCCGGTATATATCTACATTAGGAGAAATTTTACTCATATCAAAACGAAGAGCCCCTCAGATCTTGACAACAAGCCGAAATACCAACTCCTGGTTGGCTCTGGGTCACGCCGTGTGCAGGACACCCTGAATCGTTATTCCAATAATTACATCGGGAGAAGCCAACCCTTTGAACAAAGCCTATGAAACAGCTCGAGTGACTAAGATTTCTCTGCGATCATGCGGCTCCCAGACTCTTGTGGGCTCGAAGCTGCATGAGTGAGTGTGGTTAGCGACTTCTGCTGTCTTTCGGATTTTAAGCAGTGGACTAGTTAATGGACGAAAGCGTCATGTTCATTAGGACCATGATGGGAGGACCAGAGAGTACTTGCACAAGCAGGAAGATCTAATATTTTTAACTGCTTTGCATATGAAACTTACCACTATACCAGGGTATCTGCTAACGGTTCGTTTCCACATGTATTGTCCCACATTTGTGTATTCATATATACAATCAACTAGTTGTACACCAATCCGGTGCCCCTAGTCACACCGAATTTCTCCCCCAGCATGTCAAATTGCAACATGGGTCAACGATTACTTCCTGGGCCAAGCTTTACAAAGCACAATCAGTTAGATAGCAATCTAAATTATCCCTCGAATATACTCATCACTCATCGTACTAGAAGAGTAGCTGAGAAACATGCAAATTTCCATCGTCACTGATAGGACTTGATGGCAGGCTTAGAGCTTTGCTGTCTTTTTTACACCGCCCACGCAACAAGCTACATTGCAACCCACCAGCTTTCAATGTCTTTATCGCCATCGAGACAACCAAAGCATGACAACTGTCGTGTATCATTCGTCTTGAGTCGCTCATTCGACCCTGCAGAGCTAGTAACGTTTAAATCAGCTGCCAGGTCGTTTCTCGCCAACTTCTAAGGGTGTATGTGCTCGTGCATAATGCTGATGTTATGATACCCCTTGAGGCTCCTAAGGGAGATCGAAAATGAAACAGAGTGAAGATTATCCAGAATCTTTGTGTGAACCGGATGAGCCATTATGCGCAAATCGAGGCTTGCTGTGTGTTTTTAAACGCCAATTTTATTAACCGAGCGCAGGACAATGGCATCATCTCATTGGTAAATTCGTATCTCTGAGGCCAGTGAAAGCTTTGATAAACCCTGTGAGCTGATCTCGAGAGGACAGTACCAAAAGGTGGAACTCCCAAGAAAAGTACCGTCAGTTAGAAGTGTGGTCATGTATGGATATTGGCTCAAACTCTCGTTCCACAACCGGAGACTAACCAGTAGAGAAATACAAAAAAGTCTTCTTGGATGTCAAATATAGCACATGAAACGAGCTGTCCAAAGCTTGCTCATCAAATATCACAGCCGACTGGTCTGGATCCTATAGTACAAGGATCAGAATTCGTTCCTGAGGACATCGCCAATTAGCTGAAGAATGATTCGCACAGAGACGCGTCACTGCCGGAGAATTAATGGAGTCGGTGCAAAGGGAAACCAAAACCATATTCTATCATTATTACTAATATGTTTGGTTTACACCAGTGATTGAAGGTTCGGTATATGGTTCTACTTCCTTGTGCAAATGCTGCCGAGGGAGTCAAACGCAATTTCAAACTGTTTAGTCTAAACGTTGATCGGAACCGAGCCGGACATAACTCTATGGGCCTCAAAGTCAGATCGCCGGCTAATCATTTGGACCTCTTGATTCCAAGGGATACCATCCGCGCGAGTTTTCACCTCGCCAGCTCGTCAGATTACACGGCCCCTTGCATAAAGTTTCAATTCCTTCGGCGTCGTCTCATTGATGAAATCAAGCTTGTGACGATACGAAGGCTATCAAAGAAAGGATGATCGTTTCATTGGGCAAATCTGGTCTTCATATTCTGTAAGCAAAGATGAACCCAATTGGGACCCGTATCGTTGCTTAACCAGTCAAATCCTCTTACACCCCTCCAGCTCTTAGCTTGTAGTTAACTTCTCAACAATTCTCTTGTGAAAGTCTACAAAACATGTCATTCAGAAGTGCCGAGAAGGTTGCCTGAAAGTAGATTCAGATGCTGGAGGCCGTGAATACTGATGCACATAATAAGCCTGTGATCGAATTAGAGTGATGGCTGTGCTTGTCAGAACTCTATTTTTGAACGTAGATAAATGAACTTTCAATGTCGGTGAAAGCTTATTCCTATCTGAAAATTCCTGGCCTATCGGAAGAAGTCGCTGAAGTCAATTATAGTTTCCACGAAGTCCCCGACAAGATATAGTTCAGGACTACAATTCATCTTGACGCACCCAGAAGATTTTATACTGTGACATGTAAGACAAATCCTATTGGCATATGTAACTGTTGACCTTGGTCTCGAGCATCGCAGGACGAGCTAACACATCAATCGCCGTCACTGGAAAATGAAGAGAAGTGTTAAAGCACCTCCTCATCTAGAGTTGCAACTAATCATTCTGATAATAAAACTAAGCCTACATATCTACAATATCGTTCTATCAATGATCAGGATTCTTCTTAAAGCCACTCTACAAAGAAAGAAAGAAAACAAATGTCCTGCCAATCGGTTCTTTACCTTGCTTACCATATTTTCCTTCAGCCTTACGCCGCAGTTGCCTCAGGAAGATGACTTTAGTATCGAGAATCAGAATATTTTGCTCGAGTGCCTTCTAGAAGCTTTCACCAACTTTCATAGCTATGTTCCGGTTGACATGAGAGAAGCCGTCGAAAGAGTTGCCAGGATGATGCATGCTATGGTTTGCGTTCATCAGCCTCTACGAGACACCATCGCTGTTGACGAAGGCGAGTTGCTCAAAATGCTACATGAGCTATCCAAAAAAAGGTACGTTTTCATATCCGATCTCATAGCGCCATACTAAATACTTACAAAGTGGAATAATAGCCCTGAACATTAGGGTTCAGAATTCCGGGATTCCGATTACCAAGGCCAATAATTCAGTTCACATGGAGGCATTTGAGCTGTCTCCGACCAACGAGGCTGTGATAACAACTATGGGTCGCCTTGGCAGGACCTTCCCCGGAGTCTGAGTGGTCATTGACCTTGGAGAATTAAACAAACCCGAGTTCAAAGAGACTCTCGTTGCAACCATGGCAAAGATGAGTTCTCAGCCGGCTCCAGGTACTCAACCACGCGCCAAGAAGGCCGGACAGCTTCACGATGAGAGTCGCGACACCAATAGCCCAAAGATGGTCATGGAGCTCCTATATCCCTTCTTACAAGTTGTGGGAAGTCCTCTCAACGAAAAAAGATTTTGGAAGAATACCCGTGATGAGGTCAATTGGGACCATGGCCTGCATCCGTGGCGCCGTTCTCCGACGTGGCTTCTCATCCGCGTATGCCTGCAGTTAGTGTTCGGCCGATTAGCCACTCAAACGAACCCCAACAATAGTCTTTAAAAATCATTCATGGTCTTTCTAGTGGCCGAGATCCTCCTTCGTGGTCTAGTCCTTAAACCCCAATCGGATTTGATTCTTACGATGGTCGCAAAACTTGCCAGACGGTTACTTAAGCTTACAGTCGAGCCTGCTCCTGCCACTATCGACCATGTCCGCCAGGCTATGTGCCAAGCGGACGAATTCCTGTCAAAGCGCTGGTCCAATATTCAGCTTAAGGATTCACCTGGTCTTGGCTCAAAGCTTAACAGCCTGAAGACATTAGACTTTGACAAGGATTCAATCGCGCACCTTCCTGAGCTCGACGACTTCCTGGCATCGCTGGCCGAGCGACATTCCAAAGCTGCAGACTTTGCCTTCAGTCCCTCATGGATGATGACAAAATACAAGTCGTCTGTACTGCCATCAAAGCTAGATATGCCTGACAGGGAGCACTTGTCTATACACTTGGCAGTCTTCGAGGCCTGGGTTAGCAATCATTCGCAGACATGGTTTGCAGGACAGTCCGATGGAGGAACCATCAGCATTAGTTCTCAGATCCGGAATCTCGTCGAAAGTTACCACAATACTGCCCGCTCGTTCTATGCCGACAACCCAGAATCAATCTCAATCATGTTATTGACTATTTTAGAACTCTGGATCATCTGCGACAAGGCTACGATACGCATTCATCCATTGCTTAAGGATTATGACCCTGAGGTCCCCTTAAGCCTTTTTGAGAATTTAATCCTTCCGACCAAAAGTCAGTTGAGGAGGTTGCATATCGCTGAACTATACCTGATAGAGCGGCTTCGGAATTGCAAGTCGAAGAGTGTAGCTCCGAGCATCTTTACAACATACGGTTCTTCGGAGTGTTTCTCTGTCCGTTATTTTGATCAATCATTAGAACACCAGTCTCTCAAAAACAGGATTGAAAAGAAAGCCACACAAGATCGGGATAACAAGAAGCGAGAATTGCAGAATCGAAAGCCAATTACGACGACCTCATGCAGAGGTATCATGCAAGTTCTTGCGATTATCATACAACTATCGACAAGAAGGGTATCTGTTTCGAAACCCATAGCAGCTGGTGCACGCGGTGTTCGCTTCTGATAAATGCCAATAATTTATTTATAACAATTCACGAGTGGCCGCTTCCAAAGAACCTCACCGAATTAAAGTCAACGGTTTTCGAACTTTCACTCCCAGAAGCGTTCAGGCACTGGCGCGAAGTCACTGTATACATTCTGTTAGAAGTTCTGAAAGCCAGTTTTGGTCGGCAAGAAAAGTCCCGCTCACACTTTCCTTTGAAAGACTACCAAGGTCTCTCTCGGTGTTTTAGACCCAGTGTATGTCCACAACACGTTGGTCTTCTCACACAAGACAAGCCTCACATTGTCACACATCGTAAAACGGTTTCTGTTGCAACGGCTATAGAACACACAGTTTGCCTTGATAATGGGCTGA